TCTGGAAGAGTCTTCAGAAAGCCCTTGGTACACAACTAAAGTAAGTTTAGTACAGCATTTCATCCTCAGACAGATGGAAAGATAGAGAGATTAAATTAAATTCTCGAGGACATGTTGCGTGCATGTGAACTTGATTTTGCTAGCAGTTGGGACACCTACCTATATTTGGTGGAATTTGCCTATAATAATAGTTATCAGTCAACTATCCAGATGGCTCCTTTTGAAGCACTTTATGGACGGAGGTGTCGAACTCCAATTTATTGAGAGGAGGTAGGTAGTAAACCGCTATTAGGTCCAGATTTGCTACGAACGACCAATGAGGCGATTCAGAAGATTAGGAAGAGAACTTTGACCGCCCAAAGTCGTCAGAAGAGTTATGCAGATATTAGAAGGAAGGACCTAGAGTTTGAGGTAGGGGATCATATGTTCCTGAAGATTGCACCAGTTCGTGGTGTTTTGCGATTTGGTAGAAAGGGGAAGCTTAGTCCACGTTTTATTGGACCTTTTGAGAACCTCGAAAGAGTTGGCCCAGTAGCCTATAGATTGACATTACCACCAGCGTTGGATGCTGTACATAATGTTTTTCATGTTTTGATGCTGAGGAGGTATGTTGTAGACCCTATGCATATTCTTCATTATGAAGACTTGGAGTTAAAGAAGGACTTAAGCTACGAAGAACAGCTCATGAAAATTTTAGCACGGGAAGTGAGATCCTTGCGTAGCAGAGATATTCCCTTTGTTAAAGTTTTATGGAAGAATCAGCAAGCTAGTGAAGCTACTTGGGAAAGAGAAGAGGAGTTTAAACGAGAGTATCCATACTTGTTTAGGGAGTTGAAAACTTTCGAGGACGAAAGTTCTTAAAAGGAGGGTAGAATTGTAACAACCTAAAATAATGATAATATGTCTTTTGTATTTATTTGTTGTGTTTGATGACGATGATGATAATAATAATAATAATAATAATAATAATAATTAAAAAAAATATAAAAAAAAAAATAATAAAATAAAATAAAATAAAAAAAGAAAATAATCGAAGCAGCTGCATCAAGCAGCTGCTGTAAAGGGGGATGAGGGGCGGCGGACGCGTAGGCTGGAGGCGTGGGATTGATGAGTGGATTATTAGAGGATGTGGAAGCGTATTAGGGCCTTGATTAGGTTTTAAAAAGGGAAGAAAAACGAAGAATAGTGATAATCGAAAAACCCATAAAACAGAGGAGGAAATTTTTGAGAATTCGAGTTTTGGTTGCTTAAAAATTGGACATCAATCGAGGGTAAAGGAAGAGAGGTTGTTGCTGAGGAATCCTTTAAGGAAGGGGATACGACCACGAGCTGAATCGGACGGTGATTTAAAGGTAACGAAAAACCCATATCACCGAACCTTTAAATCTCGATATCTTGATTCATACTGCATAATAAATTATGAAATAAGGCTTGTTAGAACCGTAGTTAGGAGATCTATAAAGTTGTAGAAGAAATCAGCACGAAATTCGAGCTGTAGAGATGAAATTTTTGCTTCGGGACACAACGGGTATTAAAGGAAAAAGATTGCAAAAAAAAAATTGCAGGGAGGAGAGGTTGAAGACGAGCGCGTGAAGGACACGCGAGGCGCGTGGTAGGCCACGAGTGGAAGTGCGATTGTGCGCGGATCAGGCGCGTGAGAAACGAACCCTGACCTTGTGTTGGCGCGTGAGGGCGCGTGAGCAGGTATTTTGGCTCCCGGTTTGTCCCGTTCGACTCCTTTTGACCTGTCCTATCAAAATTG